ACGGCGCCCTGATTTTAAATTAAATAAGTTTCGAGTCTCATGTAAGCCCTGAAATAGTCGATGGTAACTAAAATTGTTACAAGCTCAATATGAACAGCCTTAGTCACAAGGCAAACGAATAAGCAGATATATGCCTTCTGAGCATGCTGTCCTCTTCGACGAGCAAGCGTAATGCGAAGGGGACCTGCGTAATCAACACCGGTATGAACGAAAGCCTTTGCTTCTGTGATACGAAACGAAGGTAAATCAGCCATCTTGGGTGCACGGTGAGACGGACTTACACGAAAACAACAATTGCATTTCCTGACCCTAGCTCTTATAACCGTCCTGGCATCCAATATCCAAAAACGTTGCCGCAAGATAGACATCAAAAGTCCCGGACCAGTATGACAATTCATAATATGGTAGTGTTGAATGATAAGATCCACTACACGGTCATGTTTAGGGAGTAATGCTGGATGTTTAGCCTCAAAAGGTAAATCCGATTTCGAAAGCCGTCCTCCAACACGCAGTACACCATCTCCGTCAAGGAACACCGACAAATTCAAAAGCTTCTTCGAAGGCAATTTACCTTTTTTAAGCGCGGTAACGTCCTCAGCGAAGTGAACAGACTGCACTGCACGTAGCACGAATTTTTCAGCAATCATAAGACTATTGACTGTTTCAGAGGAAGGCGCAATCTTTTTAATAAAACGAAGGACGTAAACAACAGTCCGTAAAAGTTTATCCCACACGGATATACGCCGGGCCAATTCCAACAAGGCCGGTGGTTCAGTCTGAACCATTGCAGTCAGCACGTTAATTTTGTGCTCAGGCAGCTCGGCGGTTATGCTAGGCGAAAAGGCTTTCAAAGGCCACTCAGAAGGAGAGCTTCGAATCCATGACGGGCCGTTCCACCATAAATCATGTGAAATGAGTTGGGAGGGGAGCATCCCCCGGGAAAGACAATCACTCGGATTCTCACTTCCTGCGACATGAAAAAAGTTCTCAGGAGGTAGATTTTCTTGACATTGAGCGACGCGATTGCTAACAAACACCGACCAACGATGCGGTGAGGAATGAATCCACGAAAGCGCAATAGTTGAATCCGAAAAAGCATACGTTCCCGCGATCGGAATACGCTCCTTGTAAGAGCTTTGAACCGTCCGTATCAACCTGGACATCAAGACCGCAGCACATAATTCTAAACGGGCGAGTGTGGTCACCTTAGTCGGTGAAACCTTTGACTTCGCACAGAGTAACCTCACAGTTATATTCCCCAAGGAGTCAGTGGTGTGTAAGTAGAGAACACAACCATAACCGTTCATACTCGCATCACAAAACGCGACAATCAGCACGGTACAATCGTTGACTACACCAATATGACGAGGGATTTTCACAGTTGAAATGAGAGGAAACTCCTGAATGAGCGCCGAGAATTTTCGTAAAATGCTCTCGGGGGGAGTAACGTCCCAATCTATGCTACATAGCCATAGCTCTTTTATAAGCAATTTGGCGTACAAAATAACAGGAGCCATTAAACCAAGGACATCAAACAAACGGGCAACCACAGAGAGTATACTCCGTTTCGTACATTTCTCTGGAACGTAAGCAGTCGTAAAGAAGAAATTGTCGTCCGCGGGTTCCCACGAAAGGCCTAACACCTTCAAGGTATGGTTAGAGCCGTCATTCAAATCCACTGCACTGCGGTGAGAGCCCGGAAGAGTTTGAAGAACCACATGAGAATTACTTGACCATTTGACTAAGTCGAAAGCACCAGCCTTGAAAAGCGAGATTAACTCTCGAGAAAGACGCACGGCACTATCCTCATCAGCCACAGAATAGACCAGATCATCCATGTACAATCTGGACTCCGCGATCGAGGCAGCTTCCGGGTACTGAGATCGCATGTCATCAGCCAGCTGACGAACAGTTCGCATTGCTAAGTATGGGCTTGCTTTGAGACCAAAAGGGACCCGATTAAATTGAAAGGTTCTTACGACCTCCTTCTCCGAGAAACGAAACAAAATCCGAATATATTTCCGGTGTTCATATGGAACCAAAACCTGTAAGTACATTTGCTTGATATCCGCAGTCATCGCGACTGGAAAAAGACGAAAGCCAAGCAGAAGCAAAAACAAATCGGCTTGCAAATTAGGGCCAATATGCAGGACGTCATTCAGTGACACCCCTGTATGCGTTCTCGCACTAGCATCGAGAACGATCCGAGGCATAGGCTTACCCGGATGAGTGACAGCGTGATGCGGGATGTAATACCCATCCACGGTCACATCGGATACAGCAACTTCAGACAAATAACCCTTTTCGATATATTCACCGATAATACTATTATATTTATCTCGTAGATCTGGTGACTGTTTAAACCTCCGCTCCAAAGCCATAAAGCGGCGTTGGGCAGCGGTGCGAGAGTTACCCAATTCTTTAGGGTCCTTGCAGAACGGTAAAGCAACAGAATACCTACCACCCTCCCCGCGGGTGACAGATGAAACATACAAATTTTCACATTCCGTCTCCTCAGGACTCAAAAATCGCAAATTAGGCAATTCCTCTAACTGCCAAAACTTCTGCACCATGTCATTAAGCGAAAGCGCGCATAACGAAGTAGAAGTATCAACAGGAACATTACTCGGGAAATCACCCATCAGAACGTAGCCGAACGCGGTCAGCAAAGCAGGAGGCGCAGTAGTACCAGACACGACCCTATTCCCTAAATAAATATATGGGAACAGCTGAGCACCCAGAACGACGTCTATCGACCCGGGAAGGTTCCATTTCAGATCGGCGAGTGGAATCCCTTTCAGGTAACCCATATCACCAGCGTCCACATAACTCGCGGGCAACTGATCGGTGATACAGTCGATCACTAAAGCGTGTATAGTATATTTATTATTCGTATATACGCGGGACTCAATGTCCAAGTAAACGTACCCTAAAATAGGACGAGACGCCAAACCAATTCCCTTGACAAATGAGTTACTCAGTGGAATTATTGGTAAATTAAGCGATTTACAGCAGTCCATCGTAATTAAATTATTTTGCGATCCGTTGTCTATCAAACAACGAATAATCTTTCTATGATTACTATTTTTAATTTTCGCATAAACTTGAGCTGTCGATAACAAAATCGTAGAGTTCGGTTTTACCTCCGCACTTAGAGACAAGGACGGGGTACCCGAGGAACTCAAAATAGCCGGGGTATCCAAAATGGACGGGGTACCCGAAGGCGTATTCAAACCGCACGGCCTCGACCCTACGCCGGGTGCAGAGAGAAACGACGCTGCGGGCAGCGAGGCGACAGGCGGCACCGACGACGATACACTGGGCAACGACTCTTCGCCGGAAAGTACTCGAGACGTATGAACGTAAGTATTTTTCCGAACCTTGTTATTCTTATCCTCAAAATGCAAAAGAGTATGATGACGTTTTTTGCATAACTCGCAAGCAACCGTCGACTTACAAGAGGTTAGGGTATGCGATCCACTAAGACAACCTACACAACCTTGTTTAGATTTAATAAAATCGAACCGAACTTGAGGTGAGCTCAGACCTTTAAATTGTGAACAAGAATTAATTGAGTGATCACCTTTATTGCAAAAAATACACGATTTCTTCGACGCGTAAGTGAAATTTTCATTCTTCGCAACAAAAGACTTGTACGTGTTAGAACGGGATGCCGGGTTCGCGGCAGACGGAGACGCTTTATTAATACTACCGCCCAAAGACCGCACCGAATACGAAACGTTCGACCGTTCTAAGATTTTGACTTGATCTTGCACAAAAGAAATTAATTCGTCATAAGAAGGAATTTCCTTGTTACGCACAGATAATTCAAACGCTTGAACAGTCTGAACATCGATTTTCCTTAGCGCACAATGCAAAAGTATGAAATCGGTTAAATCATTAATATTCAGCTGTTTTAAAGCCAACACGGAGGATGAATACCTTTCAATAAAATAATCAAGACTGGCTGCCGTGTTTGAACAACATTTCGCATCGAGAATATTGTTAAGATAAAGTGTACCTAATGAACGCACATCCTGATATTTTTTCACTAAGCTATCCCAAATGATATTATAGGTTTCACCCGAAGGTACAATACCCGCGGTCGCTTTGAGCGCACCGTGCGTCAGTTTACCTACTAAATATTGCACGCGCTGCGAGTCAGACAGCTGTTGGTTATTGTGAATATTGGACTTGAAAGATTCGTAGAATTTAGGCCAATTTTCCGCTTTGCCGTCAAAGCTAGGCAATTCAATCGGAGGTAACTTAATGGTGCATCTCGGATTATGATCACCGGAATTATTCGATGGCGACGGAAAAACTGGTTGCGACGCCAGAATAATATTATTTCGGACGCGCTTTACCACAAAATACAAATCTTCAAAAGCGGTCAGAGGCTGATAATCAGGCTGAAATTCCGAATCTAGCGTAAGCTGGCGGTTATTTATATCGTCAATTATGGACTCAAATTGCCTTCGCATTTCATCGATTATCTCTGACTGAGCCATGAAAGTTTCATTACTACGTGATGCAAAATTAGACACATTATTTGCAAACCTATACAAATCATTTATGCGTGAAAAAAGACGCTCTTTTTTTGCTATTAATAAGATAAGTTGCTTATCAGACGGTTCAGCGACAGAATCATCAGTTGAATTCGGCATTTTAAACAACTAAATACGCTATTACAATGCGAGAAATAATTTTTAAATGAAATAATTTTATTACCGTAAAATTTTGTAGCAATTACAAAATGGCGAATATGACAGTACTACGTAGCAACTTCGCGAATTATACCAATTAATACGTAATTATTCTGCGAACATCCAAGTCATGTACTGCCTAAAAATTCCAGCTGGAACATGGAATCCGCACTCAAAGGACCAAAATAAATGGTGTGGCGCGTGTAAATAGCCCACACCTGGGGTGGATTACACCAAAATTATAAATTATGTGGTTCAATACCAGGAAAAAGGAAGCGCCCACTTACCTCCAAGACGATGGGTTGCGTGGTCTCCGACGGGCGTAATGTGAGGCGGCTGGACCCTGCTTTGCCGGCATTCCAGAAAGCGCACGTCACAATTGTAGTTTTTACGATTGTCCCGAATATTTTAATAATAATTAAAGAAAAGTATTGACACACATCTTGACAGTTTTTTTAAGGAAGAGAGTATGTTCACTTTTTTACACGAAAGGCACCATAAACAATGTTTATTCCGGTAACCAGCCAGTGCCCTCAGCCTCGGCGACATCAATCCCACAAATAAGTGGGTGCGAGAAGTTTTCCTGGTATATCGCCACACATAATAATATAGAAACATAATTTTACCAAAAAAAAACTAAAACCATTCTTATGGCGCTCAACCAAGTCGTATTAAAATATTTTTTTAAGATTCTCCCTTTTTACGGAAAGTAAAGGAAAAAATGCCCATACAGCCTAGTCTTTAGTTAATATACCTATACATAAATTTTATTTTATATATTTAAATATTTTAAACTAAAATGTCGGTGTAACGCATTCTAATTTTTCTTGGAGTGTTTGGCACGAAATGTATACAGTTGGCTTCCTCGACAAGCTTCTTTGAGGTAGTCAACACTACAATAAAGTTCTCACGTCCACCTTACCGGAATATCGTATATTTTAAAGATTCCACTTTTTCTTCAGTTGTGCAGACGATTGTAACACAAAATCACACCAATTTTCACAATGTTCACTTTCAACGAATTTTAGAATAATTAAAATAAGACGCCAACCGCACTCGATAAAATCCCGCCAACAACTCTCTGTCAAAATAAATTTAAAAGGGTCGTATTGGTCTGTAGAGGACAAAATAGTTTGTTATCGTTGATTTTAACTGTTACTACAACAGAACGATATTCTTTTTCAGTTTAATTTTGTATCTCCACGTTTTCCCAACAGAGAGCAGCCAGTACCGCTCCGACTATGAGTACAGCCGCGAAGCCGGCGGCTGGCTGAAATTCCACCGAGTACCAGCCACCTTCACTGATGCATTCCTGAGGTGTAACGCTGAAGGTAAAAACCGCTACACGAGTGCAACTGTACCTATTCTACAATCAAATACTTCTACACTAACCACCAGTAAGGTGTACCACCTGTGCGACGTACGTTAACCGATTTCTTAAAAAAAAAAAATCAGTTAAACTGTATGTTGCCATTTTAACCCTGCAGATTTGGATTGCAAACTGGATAGAAATATTTTCTAAGCTAACATTAATAAAAGAACCATGTGTATCTTTCTCAGGGTCAAATGTAGCGTCTCCATTGACTGTAGACCTACAGCAAGCCATGATGAAATTTGCCAAAAATCACACTGACTCTTGCGGCATCTTCACTGGAGTGCACGCGGCCTTTTCTAGAGGAGATTTCGCAACCGTCGAAGGTATGTAAAACGACTTAGTTCATAATATAACTTTCTTTTCAAGAACGTGATTACCAATACCATAAGGAACTAGTAGTTACCAACGCTCGTCAATGACAATCATATGATTTAAATAAAACTAGTTTTAACGGGTTAATGCACGAAACTTTATTTATTTATTGACGTTTCTTCGACGACTATTCCGATGAAGCAGCCTGTAAAGGCTGCGAAACGTCAATAAATAAATAAAGTTTCGTGCATTAACCCGTTAAAAACTAGTTTTATTTAATGAGTGATGTGCGTGAAAACCTATTTGTTTTGAAAATGTTGAATCGGTAGGAATTGAAATCCAAGTCGTCAACTGTCCAAGCCAGATAGGCAAAGGAAACCTTATCTGACTACCAGGAAGAAGTTTGAGCTACAAAAGAAAATGTTAAATTTGGCCTAAGAACCAACGCCAATTTGGCATTTATGATAATTCTTCTTCTATTTATGATTCCTACCTAACCAAGTTTTTCCTAATAGTTATTCTTTAAAATCGCACCGAATAAAAATGAATTAGTAGTAATATTATTTCTCTTTATACTAAGTTCATAGGTTGACCTATGTTTCGTTTAATATTAAACTAACCTCAAAAAATATTTAGTTTGCCTGATAATTTATGTTCTCAGAAGTGTCCGTCAATAATCTTTGTTTTTACAGTCATTTACTTGCAATTTCGAACCTAGAAAATAATATTTTGTGATAATTGGTTCTTAGGCTAACAATGTATAGACGCAGAACAATGTCCTTTCATCATAGACCTGACTTTAATCTTTTATTTGTTGGAACTTACCTCTTCCTGCTCCATTTATTGTTTCTCTTACATTAAATTTTGGAAAGAAATCATCATGTCTACTCTTCCTCTTTCCGGTAACCTATAGTATAAACATTTCCTTTTTTAATATTTGCATAAATGTCTCAGGCGTTCCTCTCTACAAGCTACCAGTCACATGGGCTCCTGACGAACCAGACAACTATAAGAACAATGAGGATTGCACCATCATGCTGCAGAACGGGACACTGGCTGATGTTCGCTGCAACGACACCTATCCCTACATTTGCTATAAGAAGAAGACTGATAACCCAGTTCTAACATCATGCGGAACCGTCGATAGAGGTGTGTATAGTTAAACTGCATCTCAATGAAATCGCTCAATGCGCAGACAATGGAAAGAATACTGTGAATATGGTTGTGGTTAATGAACATTCAAAGCTACGCATGAGTCAAAAGTCCCAAGCAATAGTCGTCTTAACTCTCTATGGCCACGGATCTAGAATCCGCGTTCATTGATTACTATTTAGTTTGATCTCTAAAGAGAATCAAATATACGATGAAATTAAACAAAAAACATACATAACTTAAAGTACAACTACATGTAATTCACTTATATCGAATCTACACTAATAAGATACCAAATTTCTGTCTTTATTGAGATCTAAAATATTGACTAATAACAACAGCGCAATATGTCCAGCTCATCGCCTACAATATTTACGAGGTATAGTATAAGTTAGTCTTGCCGTCAGTTCACCATTTCAGAATTCACAGAAGCTGCTCTATGTTTATTTCTTTATTAATATTAATCTCAACATTATTATCATCAAATTATAAATGTCCGTTTTGTATGCGCATAGGCCTTCCGGATTGAATGGGGAGATGAAGAAATAACTCACCATATAACCCAGTAAATTACCAGATTTTACTTTTCGAACATCAATTTTGTTTTAGAATATGTCCTGGACGCTCGCACCGGAAGCTGCTACAAGTTCCATACAACTGGACGTACATGGAGACGTGCTTATATGACTTGTATGGCAGAGGGAGGGCACCTAGCCATCATCAACGGCGATACCGAGATGCAGGTCATCAAGGATGTCTTCGCCAAGCACCCTAGCGAAAAAATTGCGGCTGATTTAAAAGATGTCGCCTCCATAGGGTTTTGCAGTTGGAGAGAACACGGAAACTGGTACACTGTTCACGGTAAGTTGGACGAAGGGTGTTTTATTAAAATGTATAGTCTTTTTTGTCTCAAGAAGTGTAGTAAATTTTCAAGTAAATATACTTGAAATTTTCAATTGACTATCGAGACTTAAAATAACAAAAGCTCATGGTTTGGAGTCTCATTTGAAATAAATTCTGTTTTAGATGTTGCCGAAGTTAGCAACTAATACTTACATTTTATTAGATATTTTTCACTGAAATATAAGCATGCGAAAGATACATCTTTATAAATAAAACACAAAAGTTGTAGCACCGTATAGACTTTCAAACTTTGTTCCCTTAACCAGTCTTATTTGAAATACGGTTTTAGACCACCAGGATGGTTATTTGCATAAGATATATTCGACCGCTGATGTGATCGGGCGTGTTTATTTATTTAGAATCATTTTGTAAAATGATCAATTGCATAATCGTGACCTAGTTAGCCATTGCGGAAGAGCTTTAATCTGTTTCAATCAGTACATGGTGAATAAGATTTTTGTTTAAAGTATGGTCATTAAAATGTATGGTGTTTTATAAGAACAAATAAAATGGACAGCCCCTTCAACCGGAGTGCGCTAACGCCCGCAGTCCGCCACCCAATCCCACACGTGAGACCGCATCTCCCGCGCCAGGCCTACAGGAAGACCCTGCTCAAGAAGTCGTCTCCACCGCCGAAGTTCAAAACTGGATGAAGACGATTGAGCTATGCCTCAGTGAGATATGCACTATATCAACAGAAGGGAAGCTTAATTCAGACCAGAAGTTGAGAATTCACAATTTATGCCGTTAAGTGTCCCATGGGACGTCTCAAATGGCCGTGCAGTACCTATCCCTGAAGCAAAAACCGATGCAGAACCATATAACAGTTCAAGCCCTTAAAGAGAAACATGATCTCTCTCAACGACTCCAGGATCTGAAAGTGAGTATTGAGTCCTCAAGACCAGTAGCAGGAACTGTCTCTTTTGATCCTGCTTAAGAAAAATGTAGTCCAGCCCAAAACCATAACCTCGGTTACTATATATCCCACGGATAAGTTAAAGTCGAGCGAAGAAACCAAATCCCTTGTCCAGAAAATTATTAACCCTGAACAATTGAAGCTGTACGTCAGGGGACTACGCAAGACGATCAACGGTGGTGTCATTATCATTACTGAGACCAAGGATGATATCGAGAAGCTGAAGCATGCGACGCAACTTACCTCATCTGGCCACACTGTGGACGATACATTTAAACGGAAGCCCAGAATTGTCCTCATTGGAGTACCAGCAGCAATGCCCGAACCGGAAGCATTCAAGTGCTTATACAAACAAAACATAGCCGATATACTTCAAGACATAACACTCGACTCATTTGTGTCTTTTATCAAACTAAGCCATAAGTCTGGAAAAAGGGACGCCCAAAACTGCATTTATATTGTAGAAGTTCCAGCAAACGTACGGAAGACCCTCATAAATAAAGAGAGAGAGTTTATAAACTGGTCTTCGTGCCCCGTAAGAGACTTTACCTTAGTAACTAGATGCTACAGGTGTCAGCAGTATGGTCACGCAGCCAAAACATGTCGAGAAGAGAACAACACCTGCGGTCAAATCATCATCATCAGTCTAATAATTCCACTACTGGGGCACAAGCATTCTCTATGGGTGGAATAGAGAGATACGGTCGTGACGTGTAGGTAATTTTCTGACATTTTAATTCAATATTGATGCAATTTTTCCTGACTTTTTCAATTATGAATAGATTAGTAGTACTTTTTTTTTGTGACATTGCATTTACTATTTTTTTATCTTTAAATTAATTTTATTTGTTTTGACGTAACTGAACCCCATTAATTTAATTATCTTCCATAATCTGCAATATTTGCATGTTGACATTCAACAAAATATAAAGATCTAACTGCTATTGTAACCATATTTTGGCAAATAAATGATTGTTATTATTATTATTATAGTCCCACCACGGGGGCCCAGTGCGGATTGGTGGGTGCTAACGACTGTAAATGCAGCTGGGAGCACCGGCTTAACGTGCCTTCCAAAGCATGGCGGAGCTAGACATAATAAGTTTTTGGTCACCCATCCAATGACCGACCATTGCGAAAGTTGCTTAACTTCCACGATCGCAAGCCGAACACGCTAATCACCTGCACCATCGGGTTTCTTACCCACTCGAATAATACTCAATAAATAAGGTCACTGCGGTGAATTAGGTCACGCCGTTAAAGAGTGCTCGAAGAAAGCCGAACCACTAAAATGTGCAACATGTCTACATTTCAAAAAGCCGTGCAATCATAAAACGGTCGATGCTGACTGTCCTGCCAAAAAGATGTCCGAAAAACGCTGTGTTAACTCCGTAGATTATGAAGGAGCCCGAGAGCGTCACTGTTATTTATATTTTAGAACTTTTCATATATTTTGCTTTAGTATGACAGAATCGTAATTTAAAAAATTAAATGCGGACACCAATATATGTATATGTTAAATAAATACGAATAAAGAGAAAGAACAAATGAGCGATATTGACCCAGTTTACAACTCTGAAACGACGCGTAATTTGGATGTCATACAGAATTAATGTTTAATAGATTTAGTATTTCTTGTTTTTATTATTGTATAATTGCGTTATTGATTATTTATAGTAGTTAAGATCTATTTGCTTGAAACACAGGATATTCCTAGTTAAGGCTATGTATTTTTCTTTACCTTTTGTGTTTTTTCTTAGATCTAAGTAACTTATTTTTTTTTTAACACACACCAATTCGCCTAGCCCCAAAGTAAGCACCGTAAGGCTTGTGTTATGGGATATTAGGGTAACGGATAGAATACATATACAGTACATATATAAGTATATTAATATAGAAATACACATTTATTTAACATCCATGACTGGAGTACAAATGCTCGTATTCCTCATACAAACATCTGCCCCCACCGGGATTCGAATCCGGGACCTCTCGAGTCGGCGACGCCATGAAATCCGGCGTACAAACCACACGACTACGAAGGTCGTCAAATTAATATTGAATAAAAAAATATTTATTTACTTTTTATTTATTTATGAAGTCAATTTCAACTTTTCCAATACAAACACCTTAAAACATATCATATATTTCAAAAAAAATAGGTTTTGTTTCACAAATCCTTCTTTTTTCATAAAAGCACGTGACGGATACCCGCTAGCTTAAAATATTATCTCCTATTATGACAAAGATTTTTATTTACAGGTGAATCTCTTAAAAAAGCTGGTTATTCGACGTTCGCAAGTGGCCAGCCAGACAACAACAAGAATTTCGACAATGGTTCGTTCTGCGGAGGGGTGTTCCGCTCAGGTCTCCTGGATGACCTGCCGTGTGACAGCGTTCCTATACCTTTCATCTGTGAGAAGAAACCAGGCAGCTTGATTCCTGATGAACTCTAGAATAATGGCTTTATTTTTTGAAAGTAAAAAGTGATCTTGCCTTATGTAGTTTTTTTAATTTGATAATTTAATATGATTATGTCTTAAATTATTACAATGTAATCATTAAACACTAAAATACCTTTAATGTGATATTATATTACTCTCAAATATTATCACCAAACGAAGTAAAATGACGAATTTTAAAAACAATGCTTTTAAAGGTTAAGTTCTCAGATTCGCGGATTGTACAAACTTGAAAAAACAATAGTTGTGAACTTAGCGTTTAGTAAATAGGTCGTAAAGTTACCTGAAAAGCTAATAATTAACACTTATAAAATACTAGTAACTTTAAAATAAAGATACTAACTACACTCGATTGCAAATAAACTGGGCTTCTTGCTATCACGGAACTCTTGATTTGATTTTCTCAAAAAGTATAAAACTTACAAAATTATAACTACAGAAAGTGCGTTTCGTGGTGATTAAAATGAACTAGAATTTATTGAGTAAAATTAATAAATCAATTTTCTATTTTAAAAAAGCCAAGGAATAATCGTTTTCAATTGTGGTATTCGGAAGTAACGAACGAAGCAAAAATACTCACGTCTGAGAACATTATGGAGAAGAACTAATGAAATGATAAGATGTATCAGACTACCTTCATTTTATAAAAAAGAACGATAAACGCGACTTTATTAAAAAAAAATGCAAATTGTTAGCATTGCTGTTCTTGATAGATTACAAAGTAAGTTGACAGTATTTTAGAATATTTTTTCGCATATCAATAATTATGAAACACACTTTCTGTAGATGTAGCTTTAATAGTTGTAAGTTTATTACTTTTTAAAAAATCGAATTCAGAGTTCCAAGATACTAGCGGTTGGCCCAGTTTATTTGCAGTCGAGTATACAAAAAACTTTTTAAGAACAAGGTTTTACTAGTAGCTTGGGCTGTCCTGTGTGCCACCTGCTGACTCTATCATTAGACCTGGCAATATCTAATGGTCAGCCGCTACCATAGCCTATAGACGCTTGTGATACCATAACTACCACTCACACCTTTGCCTACCCTGACCCCCTTCCTTACTTCCCTGAAACCTTACTCACTGAGAGAAGTACAACACAATAGGGTTGATGACGGGGTACAGTAAACGAAATTCTATTTAGTCCGTCATTTAAATGATCAAAAAATAATGGACACGTATTTTTTCTTTGGGCAATCAACCAAAAAATGACTAAGTTATAGCGCGTTACTTTTGAGTGAATTTTCACATAAAAGTGTACTCAAACGTGACGTCATACGACTTTTCAAATCAATATATCACTGAAATCTTTATATTATGTGAAAAAAGAAAAAATACGCGTCCAATACTTTTTGACAATCTACCTGATAAACGAAAAAAAAATATTAGTCATCATGCCTATTGTGTTATTTTACTGTGGTCTTCTGTAAGGTGGGAGTTACTTCCCCAGGTGGGTGATGCACAGAAAATCCGCTAAATCCTACCCCCTTTTGATTTGTTAAATCACTCTTTTTCTTTTGCAACGTTAAATTCACTAGGAATCGTAACATTGCCCAGTAATTATCATCATATTAATAACAAGAGAATAGTTTCAGATCTAGGTGTAACTTTTGACTTAAAGCTCAATTTCGGTGATTATATTACCAATATATGTCGGTCTGCACGTAGAAGGATGTGATTTCTATAAGGAGGGCCATAGCTTTTTTGTATTTACTCTTTATTGTACACAAAAATTGTAACATACAAAACATAAATATGTGAATAAAGAGGGGCTTATCTCTAAGAGAGATCTCTTCCAGCCAACCAAGGTTTAGTGAGAGAAAAATGTAAGCGGGTGTAGAGATGTGCACTCAGCACCTACTTGCAGATTATATACCTATCTGAGACTACATACCTACATAAATATATACATACACACATACATATACATACTATGTACACATTACATGAAATTATGTTAAGATAAAACAGAGTGGAATAAATACACAACTAAGAGTGTGAATTTATTTCCAGAAAGTGCTCTTTGACCTTTGCTTTAAAAGAGACAATAGAAGGACAGTCTTGAATACTAGAGGGAAGTCTGTTCCAGAGTAAAGCAACACGAACAGAAAAGGAATGGAAAAAGAAGTTGGTATTACTTTTTGGTAGCTCAAGTGTCTTCGTGTTGCAAGACCTTTTAGGACGAGAAGGAGGAGGAAGCGTTTTGAAACGGGCAACAAGGTAATGGGGAGAACCAGGATCTTTGAGGATTTTAAACAAGAATGAGAGGATATGCATATCGCGTCGAAGACGAATGGGTAGCCATTTCAATTGAGAGCGAAAAGCAGAAACTCGGTCATATTTACGCAATCTGAATATGACACTAATTGCAAGAT